TATATCTGCATGTTGAATTAAAAGCAAGACCCAATTATGCCTAGTTTCTTACTGAGCTGCTTAAATCAAGAAAGTCATCTGTATTTAATCAAGACTTCTGTGTCACATACAAGCTTTGAAGACAGGAAGTAGCAAGGGTGTATTTAGGAGTCTCATGTGAACGCCTCACAGCTTCCAGTTTATAGGTCTAGAGATTTCCATTTGGGATACAGAAATCTCCTGGAAGTGTTATGACTGTAAAGCCATTTTCCCTATAACTTTCACCCCATGATTGTGATGAAAAGATACCATATCAGGCTACTATAAGCAAAGCTAAAATTATTAGTATGTTGTTTTTTCTGATAATAAAAGCAACACAGAAATGCTCAGCAAAGCTTTTACCTGAGATTTTGCTTCTTCTCAGCTCAATTTCCTGCAATGTTCTAGGCAATGCTGTATGCATTAAAGCTCAGATTTTGAGAAGACAGATTTTCAGGGTTGTCCCCATTTGCTTTGTCTAAATACCTTACCACAGTCAATTTTCTAAATTATTTACTCTCCATCTACTCACTAAGAGCCCAAAGTGAAATATCTGAGTTAATCCTCTTGCTCAGTTCGGTGATAGTCCGTCCTCAGTGGTGGGGGTGCGGTGGAGGTGGGAGGCACCCTCTCTAGAGACCCCCGAAGAGAGAGTGTCTTGAAGACTTGAGAGGTGCAGGAAGGAGAGGCCGGGGAGCAGGAGATGACTGCGACCGGTCCCAGAGTTGTGGGTTTGGCCCTCACTAAATCATTTCGTGCCTCATGTTCCCTCACTGGCAGGAATATTGCCAGGATTGATGAAAAGACAAGTGAGATAACTGTCAAATGCCTCAAAATCCTTGAAAGTAAGATGTTGTGACATATAAATCAAAGTCATTCCTTATTTCACTATTAATTATACAGACCTCTTTCTTTTCTTCTCCATCCCACAAGGTCTTTTTTCATCTTTCATGAAGGTCTCGTCGCTCACTGGCTCTTTCATCCTGTGAAAATCACATTATCAGCAACCATTTCTTGAGCACCTGTACCATGCCAGGCATTACGCAAGGGCCCAAGAACAGCCAGGAGCAGACCAGACAGACACAGTCACTCCAGGCTGGGGCATATAATTTAGTAAGCTTCTTACTTTCTCTGAACTTTCATCTTCTCATTTGTGACATAGGAAAAAAAAAAAAAATAGTGATCACACTTTCCAGAAATGTTTTGAGGCCCACATGAGATAAGGTGTATAAAAGTTTCTAGTGGAATACAATCAGGAATTTAATAATGTTACTTCCCCCACCTCCTTCATAAGCAGGAAAAGAAAAAACTCTAAATCCATACATTTCCCCATTTCTGAACAATTTTTTATAAAAGTTGTGGTTGGACAGAAAACTGAAGGTCGTGATTTAAAAGAATGAGCTAGCTGGGATTAAACAGCAGATCACAGGTTAGAAAGCATAGGATGAGCAATTCCTTCCACCACTCCCTCCCTGCCAGGATACGTTCCATCAGGGGGGAGCAAATCCTAGGGGGGAGCAAATCCTTCACGCGAGTGAGGAGTGTGTGGATTTGAATCTCAAGCAGATGGAACCCTCTGAGCTGGAGGATGGAGGGAGAAGCCGTGGGAGGTGGAGCAGGTCTCCGCAGAACCTGAGCTGGCCTCCCTGGCCGGCCGGCACAGCGGCTCTGGGAAAACTGATGGAGACCCGTGGAAACCCTCCTCCAGGCCTGCGCCCCTGTCGAATTTGCCTGGCATGGGCTCCATGGGCATGGGTAACCCCAGACCCTGGCGGCAAAATAAGCAACGGACACTTTTCTGGATGGGTCTCAGGTGAATCCTGCTCACATCCAGAGGAAATGAGAAAGTGTTGCATGTTTTCCCCAACTTCAGTTTTCCGTCTGACCTTCCCCAGTTTTTCCAGCCTCAGCTCTGAAGTTCAGTCATTTAGGCAGTCCCAGTGCCCAGTTAACCTCTAGAGAAGGTCTCCAGGGGCTGAGTGTGGACGGTGGAGGCAGGGTCAGCATGTACACTAAACAGAGTGTGGCACGGTGAGGCAGGAGCCTGGGAGGCCCTCCTTCAGCTGTCATGGATGAGCTGTGGGCCCCAGAGTGGTGGCCGGGGCTTTCTGCATCTCACCTTCTGTATGTGTGAAATGAGGGGCTTGGCCAGAGGCCTCAGGGGCTCACCCCTGTGTTTCTGGTCTGTCATCTCCCATGAAGTCAGTGAGGACAACAGGACAGTGTTTCATCTTTAACCTCCACACAAGGAGAGGTCAGCAGGTGGCCTGCAGAAGGGGTCAGTGCCCCAGTGACTACTTCAGGGTGACATAAAGACCCCAGGAAAGAAGTTCTGGGGAGCAAAAGAGATCGCACCTCTGTGTAGCCTGCACCAGCCCCTGGCATGCCTTAAGGACGCAAGGCCCAAGTCAAGTTCAAAGACACGGCCCTCCTGGTCACTGAGGATTCCCAAGGCTCCCAGCTGCATGAGGAGGGGTACCTGGAATGTCAAATAAGGAATGATTTGGCAATACCCCTTCAACATTCAGAGCAGAAGATGGGATACAAATGGGCCACAGGCGGGTGGATTTTATTTGGTGTACACAAAGTTTGAAACCACATTTGCACCATTAAAAGAAAAGAAAAGAAAACCAGCAAAAATAAGAGTCTACATTTTAAAAAATCTGAATTTCCAGCTTCTGTTAAAAAGGTCGAAGATCTAGCCACCCTGGGTCCACGTGCCCCCACACCCAGTGATCGGCGGGGGCTGCACAGCCTCTGCCCTCCCATGGAGCACCCTCCCCAGGTCTTCAAGGCCCCTTCCACAGTTTCTAATTGAGCCTGTATTTTACCTTTTCACTTGCAGCAGAGAAGTAATCCACAAGAAGTGAGAAAACAAAACATGTACCCAGAGACTGCTTGTTTGACCAGCAAGTAGGGAAAACATCCTTGTGGAAGTGAGGGATATGGCTAACGTTGACTATGCAAACCCTTAGCATGCTCCACTCATTTGCATTACCTGCCTGATTCTCAGCAGCATTTTATTTCATGTGCTCTCCCTGGAAAACTTAGAGGATGGAAATCTGCAGTTAATCGGCTGCTTCCTCCAGCCCCTCCTCCTCCAGAGTTATCCGAGGTCGTGGTGGGAGTGCCTTGGCAGTAACCTTGGCAGCAGTTCTCTTGTCTTTAGCTCATGCTTACTTCACCACCCGCAGAAAACAACAAATCTCATCCATCAGTCTTCAGGCAGGTAGGGATTTAGGAAACTAAACTTTAACTTGTTTGTTTGCAATACTAATAACAAGAAGTTCTATTATGATCTTCTCCGTCTTTCACACAGATGAGGAAATTCAGGCTCAGACAGGCAAGGAACATGCCCAAAGGGTGGAACGCCAGTATCGGCTGGTCTAGAAAGAGGGTTGAGAAGGGAAATTTTCCGTGCTCCTCTCCCTAGGGAAAGCAAGGTGCCCTTCCTCCACAACTCCCTTCCCGTTTCCCCCAGCATGCATGCAATATGCACACACACTGGCCCTCAGGCTGTAAGCTGGCCAGCTCCTCCCAGCCTCTCCTGGAGTCACCCTCATCTAGCAGATGGGTTGTGCAGGGAGAGGAGCCAGCTGGTGTCTGCATGCTGTGGGCCTGCTGCCTGTGGGATGGCCGCTGCCAGCCCCTGCCAACCGAGGCTGATCATGAAGAGCCAGGTCCTGGAGTCCTCAGCAGAGCCACTGGCCACGTGTGGACATGATGGACCAGAAGCTCCCCCAGTTTTCTACATAGGGCTGCCCAGTGTTGCCCGGTTCCCAGCAGGGAGGGCATGGGCAAGGGGGTAAGCACTCATCCCAGCTCTACCAGGATGCAGAGGAGCCAGGTCAGTAATATTGTGATGCGTGGACTGTATATAAACATCCTGGAAAAAGAGCATCCCCATGGCATCAGCGTTGATGGGGCGAAGGTCCTGCCCAAATGGGGATCCTGGGAGGCCTTTCTCCAGTCACTTTCACTCACTCTGTCCCCATTTGGTGAGCACCAACTCTGTGAGTGCTAGGCACCAAGACAAACACACAGTTTCCCCAGCCTCCCTGGCTAAGGCCACACGATCCACAGAGGAGCTGCTTTGGTGAGCATAAGTCAGAGCTGGAGAAAACCTTGAGAAAGTTCTGAAGCTTCTGTGCCTGAAGTTTCAAGTCAGTATGGAAGCAGCCAATTTACCGGCTATGGACTAAACGTGTCTCCCCAAAATTCGGATATTGAAGCCCTAATCCCAATGAGATCGTATTTGGAAGCAGGGCCTGTGTCAGAGGACTTGGGTGAAGTTAGGTCATGAGGGTGGGGTCCTCATAATGCGGTTAATGCTCTTATAAAAAGAGGAAGATGTAACCAGGAAGTCGGCTGTCACTAGATACTGAATCTGCTGGAACCTTTAGCTTGGACTTCCCATCCTCCAGGACTGTGAGAAATAATTGTTTGTTGCTCAAGCCGCCGAGTCTATGGTATTTTGTCATGGCACCCCAAGCTGACTAAGATATCACCCAAACTCAGTTCTTTGGAAATGAACCCACCAAATGATCGCTTTACAGAATGACCAGATAACTGCAGGTACCATTCAAAAGATTCGGCTAAAAACTTCCACTCAGAGTGTGTGCCGATGGAGCCAGACCTGGGCTCCAGAAAAATGGTAAGAACTTAGGTTTCCACTATGTCCTAACACTGCCTGAGGTGCTTTTATGAATTTCGTTATAATGTAAATCTCAGAACACTCAGCAGTCAGTTTCTCCAGACATGTTTTATCCATGAGGCATGTGAGGCTCAGAGAGGGTAAGAAACACATCCAAGGTCACCCAGTTGGTAACTGATACAGCCAGGTTTCAGCCCAGTTTCTTCTGGCTCACAGCCCCCGCTCTGTTCTCTGCAGCTGGGCCTGGGACGGCTGTGCAGGAGAAACATTTTCTGTCTCAGACTGTCGAATTCACCTTGACTCACTGGAAACGCCAAACCAGCGGCAAAGGTAGTTTCTAAAGAGTGCGCCTGGAGTTACTTCTTATGTCCTCTTGTTCCAGACGACTGAGACGGGTTTGCTGGTGATAAGACCGGAGGAACCTATCTCAACTGGCCGGCTGGACTCCGACACACTGAAAGAAAAGGTACGTAAAGGACAAAAACCACAGTTACGCTGAACATAGTGATATTTTCTCCTAGGAAATCCTCAGGTTTTACAACCAAATATTTGCTATAGATCCCCCCAAAATAAGAATCACTGTTCTTCTTTGATTCTAAGATACATAGTTTGGATAGTCTGACGTCAGGCTGTGTCTTAAGATCAACGTCTTTTCTCTTCTTCTCCTCTCCCACCCCAAGCGAGCTTTGACCTTCAAGTCAGAGGAATTGAAATGCTGCAATTCAAACAGCCCTGTGTCTTAATATCAACGGTCCTTAGAAAGGGGAACTATGGAGTAACGACAAGAAGTCTGGCCAGAAGAACACTAATTTGTTTTTATATCCCCAATACCTAAAGTGCAATATGCTTTCAATGTATGTTTGTTAAAAGGACAAATACTTCAATAAAATAGACATTGAATTTTTTTAATAGGGAAACTTTAAAACAAATGCCAAAGTACAGTGTTTTATAATGAACTCCCTTCATCCAGCTTCAGTATTTTCAACTCATGGCCAATCTACTTCCCTTCTCCACCCCCTCCCTGCCCCAGATAACTATGAAGCAAATCCCAGATGCCAGGGCATGTCACTGATAAATGTTCCCACATGTATCTGTAAAAGACAGAGACCACCCTTTTTATAAAGATCGATGACCACATTATCACAAGTTCCTGCAAATCTTCATCATGCCTCTTAAAACCAATACTAATAATTCCTTAATATCATCTGATACCCATTCGTATTTACATTTTCCTGATTATCCTAAATAGTCTTTCTCTCTCTCTCTCCTGTCTTTTTTGACGGTTTATTTGCCTCAGGATCCAAACAAGGCCCATACCCTTTTTCCCTGTTGGTTGTGTTGTTGTCATTGAAGGAACCGGGTTTCTGTCTGGTCGAGTTTCCCACGGTTTGGCTTCTTTTGATGGTGTCCCCATGACGTTGTTTAGTGTGTTTCCTTTTCTCCTGTGTTTCCTATAAAGTGGTACTCACAGCTGGAGGTTTGTGCAAACGCAGTTTGGATGTTTTGTGCTCCCATCAGGACACACGTAGTGCCTCGTTGTCCCTGTCTTTGGATGTTGTTAGCTGTGATGATGATTGCTTAGGTCATAACCAGCACTCTTGAAATGACTGCCCCATTTACTAAAACTTCTCCAAAATATACATAAAACATAACGAATCTGAGATGGATACACTACCTGTTCAGCCTTAGGTCCTGTTGGTTACAAAGAAGAGCGACTCCCTCGGGTTGGGCTGAATAACATGGGTCTCTGGTACGTCTTCTGCTGTGAGGGGAGAGCTGTGTACCTTAAGAAAAAACGCACTGCACAAATGTGTGTTTCAGTTAACAAAAAGCGGGGGAGGATGGGGACCACAGGAATCCCTGTAACAAAATCATTACTTATAGTTTCAAGGTCATGGCTAGAATACTGACACTACACATGAAAATGCAGCAAAAGATCCCACCTCGCACTTGCTCAAGAATCCTGCTGTAGGTGTCCCCAGCTTGGCGCTTCTTGCGCGCCTCCATCACGTTCAGCAGAACAGAGGGGTTGTGACACTTCTGCCAAGACCTTCCAGCTGCCCACAGTTCTGTATTGGTGTCGAGAGTATGCACATGTCCCCTAGTTAATCAATCCTGTTGTGTCCCATTTACATAGAAACGCCCTCTGTGTACACACATGGCACTAAAGGAGCTAGGAATCTCACAGGCTCTCTGGGAAAGAGCCAAGTGTGTATGCAGACCTCCTGGAGGCCTCGGTTGGTTCCGAGGCAGCTGCAGGGACCAGAGGAGCCACGATCAGCATGGCTGTGTGTGCAATTCTTTTTGGGTGTGTCCACGTCTCTTCCCAGGATGGACTAACTTCGTTATGCTTTACTGTGTGTGTCTCTGTGAGTAAGACAGGCATTTGAATGCCCAATACATCCATCTGGCACTTTCAAACCTTTTTGGCCACCACTTAATACATTTTTATCGTCACCAAGTACACACAAGCATGTAGGTGAATGTGCGTGCTGTGATATAGATATACACACACATATAATCATTCAAAGTCAAGTTTCACACACTGTCATGCTTACTCTCCGTGATATGTTGGGATATTTTCTTTTCTATTCTATTCCTTTGTAAAAAAAAAAAAAAAATGCTGGTTATGACGCACTACATTTAATTCAAAACCCGTTGATGGGTCATAACTTTCATCTTGAAAACTATACCCGACAGTGAAGGCAGAGATCAGAGAGCATCAAAGTAAAGTTCTTGGGAACTCTACTGGTTCCAAATGCAATAATTGAGACTCTTCAGAGACTGGAGCATCATTACACCGTGAGTCCAGTCAGAAATCAGAGCATGTTTATATTTGTCACGTAACGCGGCATCACTACTTCAACCTTCCATGATCAGACACCCCTTTGGCTATAATTCATGGTCAGGTTAATCTGGGGAGTCAATCCCTCAGGGAGAGAGAAGCCCCTGGGCCCTGAGAACCCTCTAGAAGCCCTGCCTCTCCTCTTGTTGCTGTGATGGATCTGCGCTTCTGCACAGTAATCATCCCTCACATGAACCCAGCTCTATTTTTCTAGCTCAACAGGACACACTGTGCTCTCTGGAGCCACGAAGGGGAGAAAATATTCCCCCCGATGCTCCTGCATGATGAATTCTTCCACCTCTACATAAAGCCCTGCTTACAGAGCTTGTCTTTTTGGCTTTTTGAACGTCCAACTATGACAGGAGAGCTGGGCTGGAGAACAATAGCGCTGCTGCTGCAGCCGGCTCGTGTTGCTCACATTTTTCACCCCTTCCTTGTAAGGAGCTCCTAGCTCCAGGGGAAGACAGAAAGACAAGAGGGAAGGAAAACCCACACAAAATCAATAAATTTACCCTTGAGATTAAGTCACTCTCTCGGATGGTGTTTTCACAGCACACATTTTTTATATATTCTGTTTAGATTTTAAGATATTTGGGCAGAAATCAAATTTCCCTCCCGTTTCTATTCACCACCACTCCTCACACACACACACAGACACAGACACACATAGAAGGAGATTTCTGTGACAGAGTTAATTTCCCATTTCCTAGGAGCACGAAGCTCTTTCTCCAGAATGTGATCAACTTAGAGGCATTAGCGTATGAGTTTAGGAATAATATTTTTGGTAACTAGAAAGGAGGAAATAACCCATGAGTCATGAAAAACCTGAAAAGATTATTCTGATGTTTGTTTATCTTGAACTAAATTTGCAAGGAAATAGAATCACTCCAGCAGCTAGAACTGCACACTCACAGTCTTTTGTATGAATTAATTATACTTAACTGCTCTGTAATGTCCTGATTAATTATTTCCTGTTCCAGTCGGTTGATTGTGCATATTTGATACGAATCCTGCATCATGATGAGAATCTTGGACCTATTTCTCATCTTGCTCCAGTCCCCTGTAGAGTTGATCTGAACAACTCACTTCAAAGGAAGCCCGTGTCTTCATCAGTGCCCCAGGAGGGCTGTGTCAGCACAGGCAGTGACAGAGCAACTGTGTCTGGGACCCAGGGCATGGAATCGCCATGTCTGCATGGGCAGCTAGAGACTTTAGCACTGTCTGTTTGTGAGAAGCATAAGCCTCAACTTACACAAACACTCGGTGCCCTGTCACCCACCAACAGCGTCTCTGATGTGTCCAGAGTGAGGGCTCTACGGAGCCCAGTGGACATGGCCAGGGAGGTCCTGCAGACAAGAGAAGCTGATGGTATCAGTTTCTTCTTGCTGCTGTAACAAATGACCACAAACTTAGTGATGTCAAACCACATGATTTTATTTCTTATAGTTCTATATGTCAGAAATCCTAAAATCAAGATGTTGGCTGGGGTGTGTTTCTTCTAACAACTCTAGGGGACAGTTTGTTCTTTGCCTTTTCTGGCTTCTGGAGGCTGCCACGTTCCTTGGCTTGTGTCTCCTTCCTCCATCGTCAAAGCCAGCAGAGTAATATCTTCAAATCTCTCTCTCTCTCTCTCTCACCCCTTGCTTCCATCATTGCGTCTCTTTTCCTCACTTTCCTGTCTCCTTATTTTCTTGATGAGGATGCTTGTGATAATATTGGTTTCAGATAATCCATGACAATCTCCCCATCTCAAGACCCTTAAGCGTGTAAGTCCCTCAGCTGTGTAAGGTAGGTATCTACAGGGTCTGGAGATTGGGACATCTTTGGGGGGCTGTTATTCTGCCTTCCGGACTAACAATCCAAGCTGAGAAGGAGCCAGTGTTTTCGGGCCCAAGCCTGGGTATGCTGCTGCCCTGCTGGCAGGGGAGTGTTTAGTCAGGTCTGCACAGGGACCAGCGAGAGGGTGGAGCAGCAGTCAAGAGGTGTGAATTCTAATCTGGCAGGATGGCTTAGTTTATACCCCAAACCACCCTGCTTTTTCCCAGGTTAAAGATCAACTTGCATTCAACTTGCCGTAAAACCATAGAGCTGTTACTCCAACCACCCAAGATACCAAATTAGCTTGTAAATGTGGACTGAGGATAGCGGAAAGGTGACAGTGAGAATGTGAACAATGGGAGTGCCCCTAGAGTTAAATTACTAAAATCAACACAAATGGATGATTTTATAAAGTTGTGCAGTAAATGGGTTAATTCCAAGCTACTGCGGGCATCTACACATTTAAGGGAGCAGCATGAGAATAAGGAAGATGATAAGCTTTGGAGCAGAGAGGTGCACAGAGGAGCACAGAGTCTTGGCCCTCTCTTGCCGCTTTCCCCTGACCCACCGCCTGAGCCTGTCCCCGACAAGAGATGGGCACATCAGACCCAGAGCCTGAGGTCCTTAAGTCTCAGGTTGTGGAACCGACTGCTCTTTGCTCTGATTCCAGGCTCACCACGAAACCCTGGGAGCCCCCCACGCAGGAGAGGACGGGCTGTCAATCTCTGGTCGACTTGATAGATCGACTCTGTTTCTCATAGAAAATTAACACACGGGCACGCTGGCTTGCATATATTAATGCC